TTCAGACTGCATTTGGTTAAAATCCCTTCACTTGTATAGCAGGAGAAAAAAAATCCTCTATTTCCCCTATTGGGCCCCGCCCCTCCGCCCCCAGAGGGGCCACACCCTCCGTTTATACAAACTTGAGTCTTCTTTGTCCAAAGATGCTCTAGGACAAATTTGGTCAAAATCCTTCAATTGGTTGAGAAGAAGAACATTTTTAAAGATTTACCTTTTTTCCCCTTATTTAGCCCCGCCCCTCTGCCCCGAGGGGGGGCTATACCGTCCGTTTATACAAAACTGAGAACCCTTTGGCCAATGATGCTCCTGACCAAATTTGGTCAAAATCCTCTGAGCCATTCAGGACAAGTAGCATTTTAAAGGAAAAAGTTGACGGACGCCGGACGCCGGACGCTGCACCACGGGATAAGCTCACATGGCCCTTCGAGCTCTATGTACTCTAGGTAACCGCAGCTGACACCAAAACATCAATTTGTGCCTTGTGCAGTTAAAAAGCATAGGTGAGGGACCTAATAAAACTCTCCCCAGTCCTTCCTCTGAAGGGGCTCTTATGTTCCTTACATGTCGATGACAGTTTTATTGAAACGTTCACACATCCCATTTCCACTTGGGTGGTATGGTGTCGTTCGTGACTTTGTTATATTTACTGTGTCATACAGACTTTTGATTACAGCTCCTTCAACGTTTGCTCCTTGATCAGAATGCTGTCGACGAGGAATTCCATAATGCTCAATTAACCCAAGTAGCGCTTCAGCTGTCGCCTTGGCCGACTGACTCCGCGTCGGAATTGCCAGGGCAAAGCGAGTAAAGTGGTTGGTTATGATAAGAACGTCATGGTTTCATCCCTTCGATACATCCAATTTCAAGAAGTCCATACACACCAATTCCATTGGTTGAGTGGTGACTATGCTGACTATAGGTACTGTAGCATTGTTGACGACTTCCTCAAGATGCATCTCCGATATCGAATCAACCACCTGTCCACATACCTGGCCTAAAGAACCTATATACCATTTTTAAGGACTTTGGTATGTCCCGGCCTGGGGACAGAACCCATTACCTTCCTCACCTGGGCGAACGCTCAACATTCAAGGCAAAATGTGTTGCCAAACAAGGCGCTAGGAAATACATCGTAGTTAGCAGTAGAGAGAATGATCAAGATCCAAAATATTGCAATGGGTGCAGCAGATTTATTTTGGTCGCTTTTGTGTCCCAAATTAGGGGACACCAAAGCAAATCCCCAATTATGTAATACCTACAAGGTTGTGCATATTATCACAATGAAAGGAAAAAACAGAGAAACATCAATATCCGATGACAGACTCGTTTGCTCGGTTGATTCAAAGCACAAGTTGTTGGGTGTGCTGTCTTCTGATTTATGTACCCTTTTAGTGTAACAGTAGTATTAGGTCTTAGTATACAATCCGTATTCCCAGCGTTCTTCACCAGACCAAGAATGTTGTGATAGCAAGATCTTTGTTCCTCAATGTCATGCATCTAAATGCTAAAAACCATGGTGTATCCAATTGCTTTCCATCAAAACGGACAATACATTTGTTCCAAATATAGCTGGTACAGCTGCGTTGTAATTACTGTGAAAAATTCAATGATGACGTGCATCTCATTAGCATTGCCAACCAACTTGTATCTCCTGTATCTCCTCTCCTGTTATGACCTTGGATCCTTCTGCATACACTTCTTCACTTTTAAAGAATCTTGTGAATAATCTAGATTCATCCTACATCTCGCTCGGATGTGACCTGGCTGTCGGCATCTCGAACAGATAACCTCTTGCTTACTCTCCAACCCATCCCAATCATTACACTGCATATGTCTTATTCTTATAGAATTAACCTCAACCATAGCTATTTTAATTTACACAGTTGCGTTTAAATAATCCATATCTTGTCCAGTACGCTGCTGACCACCTCATTCAGAGATCTGTTTCTCCAATCGCTGAATGCCTGCAGATAACCGATTCACCATTTAACGTAGATATTCCTTCTCCTTGTAGAGTTAATTCGAAGAAATGGTGCCAAGTTAAAGTAATACACAAACCCGAATATTAAATTTACAAATAACAAAATTATATACAAAAATACAACAAAGAATAAAGTGCTACAGAATCTAAATTCACTAAAATTTCAATCCTCCAAATGCAAAACAAGTGACCAAGAAGGCCTGTATCGCTCACCTGGATAATAAAGCAACCATAAGAAATCATTCTTATTACATAAAAGCCCTCCAAGAAGATAGAGTTTAAAGATTTAAACCTCTAATTTCCCTATTGGGCCCCGCAACTCTCAGCCCCCAAGGGGGTCCAAACCCACCGTTTATACAACATTGAGTCCCCGTGGCCCAAGCATGCTCCAGACCAAATTAGGATCAAATCCCTTTATCCCTACAATAGAAGAAAGGTTTTAAATGTTTTACCTCTATTTCCCCTATTCAGCCCACCCCTCTGCCCCAGGGGGGCTACACCCATCGTTTATACAAAGTTGATTTTCTTCGGTCAAAGGATGCTCAAGAAAAAAAAGGAAACAAATCCTTTGCCCCTACAGTATAAGGAGGATTTTAAAGGTTTTACCTCTATTTCTCCTATACGGTCCCACCTCTCTGCCCCTAGGAGGGCCAAACCCAACGTTTAGACAAAATTGAATCATCTTGGCCTAAGGATGCTTCAGACAAGATGTTTTCTAATCTACTGGGCCGTTCAGGACAAGTAGCGATCTAAAGGAAAAGTTGACGGACGCTGCGCCATGGCATAAGCTCAATTGCCCTTCGGGCAGGTGAGCTTATAAAAAATAATATACTGACTGCTGTTGCTACTGAGGTATTTCAATAACTAGAGTATGACTAGATAATTACATTTGCATATGAAGAATCAAAACAATTCATTAGTTGTTCCAAGTATTATCCGTACTACTACAAGCACATAGTAGTGACTCAAACTAATATAACCCTATTTAATTCACAATTAGTATTTCATGAGCCAAGAAATTATAATGAATGCTCTTTCAAATACACAGTTCTTATTCAAAGTTCCAATACCCAGTTCAAATGCCAGGTTCTGTTCAGAATGTCAAATATTGGAAGCCACTGTATCCTTTATCACTCAACACAAATGAGAGAGTCCCGGCGCGTGACCCCCAGGTGTATCCTTTACCACTTCACACAAATGAGAGAGTCCCGGCGCGTAAACCCCACGTGTATCATTAACCACTTCACACAAATGAGAGAGTACCGGCGCGTGAACCCCAGGTGTGTCGCAGTCCACGTTGATGTGCTGCTCGAGCCGTGGAGGGTTGGTTCGTGTGGTCAGCGCTATAGACGTACATTCAGATGTCCGGATAAAATTCAGGTCTTTCGCCCATGTTACATGATGTATGTATGTTGAACTGGTACTGCCTTGGCTCAAGCCATGCCTAGCTGTCCTCGTCAGGTCCCCATCCTTGTGTCTACCCCATCACACGTTCACCACGGAGCCTGTCAGACCAAAACTATGACTATGTGTTTACTATCTCGATACACTTTTGTTTAGATTTTAAAAAAAAGCTTCCGGTTGACATCGGAAGTAAAAGCTACCTACGGGACCTTACGGTTTACACTTCAGATAGAAAAATACCAAATATTACGAAACTACTCACTGACAGCGGAGTATTAATACCAACTACCCTTCTATTGTTAACATTTTATAAACAATTTAACAAAGCGTAATATCACTCCCTACTTGTCAGAGAAAAGCATGATATTAACAGAAACATGACAAAAACGGAAACGTATTTTATGACGTTTTTCAGCCCTCAAAACCGGAAGTGGACTTAATCAAATGCCTTAGTGATGTGTTTCTACGAAGAAGATTTTTAAACAAACATATTTTGTAAATAACCTTGTTCTTTACTCTAGTTGAAATATAGTATAGAAATATAGAAATAAGTCGATCGTAAATACAGCTGTTTACTGCAGTAGTGATGGAGGCATACAAGTGTTTGTCTAGTATTTCGCATCAAATGAATTGTAAAAACCATGAGACTTGGTAAATATTTACCTTTATCTTGATATGCATACTGTTCTTTCGCTTAAAACATCTCTTTATCACATGTGTGACATCTTTTTTCAGCGAGTTTGCTATCACACGGTGAACTTTTATTTAACTTTGAAACGTGGCGTAGCGTTTCATTGGATCACCTCAATATGCAAATAAAAACACTAGGCGATAAGTCTCGATGCGTATTTTTATTCACTTTTTCTCAGTTACAATGTGTATTGGTTTTATCAAAAATATCAAAACACTATGTACGCACAACTTAAGTACATCATACAAAGCACTACAAACAATGACATTTAGCAGTGATTTATAAGAACAAGCGAATTAAAAGCACTGCGATTACTCCCGGGTTCAGTTATACGAAATGCACACATTATTCCAGACTTTGTACAGTTTTAAAAGATTCGATCCCATCCTTTATCATTAATCACATATGACATTCATTTGATCTTTACGGAGCTAAACTTATTATCAGCCAACACACTTATCACTTAAAAGTTCATTTCACATCATTTCACATATAAAATCGTTTCATTTAAACATTCACGTAGAGTTTTCAAGCGATATGATACACAAGGAATTGTCACTCAATCATTCATCAGTTAAAACGCTCATTTCACACATATAATGCACACAGTATCTTTTACACATACATGTATAGTTTTCAAGCGACACGATACACACGTTCTTGTCAGTCAATCACTAATCACTTAGGGAATCCAATTGATGAACTCGGTGATCTTGCTTTGATAACGTGATGTAGCGGCTATAGATTCACAAGCGTCTTCCAGGTCACAGAGGGGTGAAAATCGTTACAACTGTTCTACATGTAACGTCGGACGTATGTAAGACAGTCTCTGATGGCAGCTGCTGAAGCGGGTATAACGGTACTGTTCTCATCGTCACTATTGGTAGCGTCTCGTGAGTTGGAGAGGATAGCATCACAGATGCCCTAGGCAGTTGGAATGACTCGGGTTTTCAGGTCATAGTCGAGTTGGACGTACTTATCAAATGTGGCAGTGATCATGTTTGACGTTATGGGTTGGAAAGGCTCCTCATAGGTTGGCGTGTCGGCTATGATTGGGTGACGGAAACGTCCTTTCCGGAAACAGTTCTTGATAGTCGTGGGGGTTACTGCTTTCCAGGCTTTGGTCAGTAGGTGAATGGCGTCAAAAACCGTCATTTTCCGTGAGAGGTCGTTGGCAGTGACTGAAGAAACGGATGTGTCGATGGCATCGATGACTCTCTTGACTACTGCTTGTCTGTAGTGGCATTTCAAGTTTCTGATTATCCCTAATTCGCAGGGCTGAATGAGGGAGGTAATTTTAGGCGGCAATAACTTGAAGGTGAAGTTGCTAAGTTTGTCGGCTGCAATAGCTGGATTCGCTGAACAGATGCCTACCAGTAGCAGTGTATTCCGTTGTTTTCTCTTCATATCAGCGTTGAGGTCGGACGTTATCCATGCGTTGCTGTCGTAGGAAACCGGGATGTACATTCCTCTGAAGCATCGGGGTTGTTTGCTCCATTAGTCGTCGCTTGTCAGTTCCGGTCATATTGCTGGCTACCATGAAACTAAGTTGGTCCTTAGACTTCTTACTTCCACAGGCGGAGTCTGACTTCGTGACGAGAGTTCCGTCGGTAAGTGCTCGATAGTACAGTCCTGTCTCATCAGCGTTGTAGATGTCGTCAGCATCGTAATTCTGTAAGAGGTATGGTTGTTGTCCAATGTTCAGCTGCTGTAGTGTCGGCATCTTTCTTCTCTCCATGTTGACGTTCGAAAATGATGGAATGTCTTCCCTTCCAGCGTGACAGTCAGCCTGATGATGCACTGAAATCGTCATGATGTAGCTGTTGTCTCTCGTTCTTGCGTTGGTGAAACATGTGGTTAGTGCCGTGTCTACGCCATTAGCTGTTCCAGACCGCTGTCTTTTGCGTTGTGTTTCAGTTTATCTCGTAAAGTGAGAGTGTTTCTTCTCTCTTTGAAGCATTCTTGGAAATAGTGGATGTGGAGCATTCTAGTCGGTAAAAAATCTGTCTGTGTCATCTTCTTGTCTAACATAATGACAATACGTCTATGCTATAGAAAGATCGTTTCGCTTTCTCTTAGACGTCATTGTTTGGTAGTGTTGGTTAGTTGATTTCTGAAGTTGGTAATAATAAAAACGAAAATATGACCCGTATATGTATGCCATCAAATATTTATGGAAACTGTTCATATTTATAAGTTGTTGATAATTAGACCACGTACCCTAATAATTAAATTGACCAGTGGTTCATCTAAAAAAAACACTTACCTTTAAGTACGTCAGCACTCACACAAGACGTCGATTATTAAACCGGGGTCAGTTTGGGTTGGTTTAATTTTGTTTAGCGTCCTATTAACAGGTCCCTGCAGGTAGGGCGTAAGAATTGTACCAGCTACTCCCATTGCATGATCGTAAGAGGCGACTAAATTTGGGATCTTATCTTTTCTCTTCCTTCTGAACAACTTTCTTCTTCCTGATGTCTCCCTTGACAATGCCTCACTTTTGGCCTTCAGTTGATCGTCCGCTCCTATGAGGAAGGGTTAGCCATTATAAGTTTAAAGTGTTATCTCACTTAAATACCGTGCCGAAGGCATCCAGGACAGTATTCTGCCCGATCACATTATACTGACAACGGGTTAACTAGTTGTTGTCATTTCCTAAACGTGCTGAACGTTAAGCAGGGAAGTAACAACTACCATTTATGTCCCGGCAAAGGGACAGAACCCATTGCCTGTGAGGAAGACTTTGTGTTCTGTCCCCTGGCCGAGACATATCAGAGTCTGTAAAAATGATAGTTTCTACTCCTGCTTAACGCTCAGCAATTTAGGAGTTGGACGACTGGTTCGCCCAGTGACCGGGTGGAATGTCCTGCTGGGTGTGCTTGCCTCCTTGTGATAGCGCGGATCTGATGCCGACTTTAAAGTGCTATTTCACTGAAATGCAACATTATATGGATGTAAAATTTGACAAGTGCAATAAATTTATAACAAACACAAAACAATATAATACCGAACTGTCATACTATCACTAATTCGAAATCGAAGTTGATAAAACCAGGGGAAATATATATAAAGAGTATGTACACAGAACGAAATGCCTGTATTCATGGAACCGTCTTGTTCCGAAAATGATAAATAAAACTCCTATTTTGTCACTTTTTTGAAAGTATTGGTATTTTGGACATAGACAGCTAAATATTTGTATATATTTTTCAATGCAATGCTTAGACCTAACTATTTGACCATGTCACATGATTAAAGCAAGTTATCTTTTTAAATTGCACAAAGTCTGGAATAATGTGTGCATTTCGTATAACTGAACCCGGGAGTAATCGCAGTGCTTTTAAATCGCTTGTTCTGATAAATAACTGCTAAATGTCATTGTTTGTAGTCCTTTGTATGATGTACTGAAGTTGTGCGTACATAGTGTTTCGATACCTGAAGTTTCATAAATACCTGGTCAAAGTGCATCTGTGTTCCGGAAGGATAAATATCTCATGATTATAGACGAACCCGTTTTTAGCTCACCTGCCCTAAGCTTATGCCGTGGCGCTGCGTCCGGCGTCCGTCAACTTTTTCTAGAAATCGCTACTTGTCATAAACGACTGAGCAGATTTTGACTAAATGTGGTCAGAAGCATCCTTCGGGGACGGGGAACAAATTTTGAATAAATGGTAGGTCTGGCCCCTCTAGGGGCTGAGTAGTGTAGCCCAATAGGGTAAATATAGCAAATTCTTTAAAATACTTCTCCTTCTGTAGGAATAAAAGGATTTGTTCCATATTTAGTCTGAAGCATCCTTGGGTAAAGGGGCACCAATTTTTATAAACCGTGGTCTGGCCCCATAGGGTCCTGAGCGGCGGGGCCCAATAGGGAACACATAGTAAATTCTTTAAAATACTTCTTCTTCTGTAGGAATGAAAGGATTTGTTCCATATTTGGTCTGAATCATCCTTGGGTTAAGGGGAACCGGTTTTGTATAAACCGTGGGTCTGACCCCATAGGGGCCTGAGCGGTTTGGCCCAATATGGGAAACATAGCAAATTCTTTAAAATCTTTCTTCTTCTGTAGGAATGAAAGGATTTGTTCCATATTTGGTTTTAAGCATCCATCGGTGAAGGGAAACAATTTTGTATATACCAAGGGTCTGGCCCCCGAGGGGCCCGAGGGGTGGGGCCAAATATGGGAAACATAGCGAATTCTTTAAAATCCTTCTTATTCTGTGGAAAGGATTTGTTCCATATTTGGTCTGAAGCATCCTAGGGGGAAGGGGAACCAATTTTGTATAAATCGTGGGTCTTGCCCCCAAGGGACCTGAGGGGTGGGGCCAAAAGGGGGACATTTGAGCTATATTGATTTAAGCGACTTTTTCTCTGGAACTCAGAGATGGATATCAACCATAATTTGACTGGAAGCATCCCTCGGTAGTGGCGATTCAAAATTGTACAAATGGTGGGGCTGACCCCAAGGGGCTGAGGGCGGGGCCAAAGGGGGCAATTTTGCTATATTGCTATAAATGACTTCTTCTGTAGAATTATGCCATGGATATCGATCATATGGGGCCAAAAAAAGTGTATTGCTTGGAAATGGTTGAGATCCCCACCATATAACCATATATACAATTGCCGAGTATAAAGAGAAGAATGCACATTTGCTTCCAGGATGGAATGGTTAAGATCCCCACCCCAAAACTATATATACAAATGATGGCTGGGCATAAAGAGACAAAAACAGTCATGATATTAGAATTGACCCTGAGGTCTGACCGAACCCCTAGGGACCTAGTTTCTTAGTCACAGCTTGGAAACAGTTGAGATCCCCACCCTATAACCATATATACAATTGCTGTGTATAAAGAGATGAATGCACATATGCTTCCAGGATGGACTTGGGGACTGCCCCACCCTTGGAAACTTAACCCCTGAGACATAACTTTGAAAAGATTGAGATCCCCACCCCAAAACTATATATACAAATGCCGGCAAAAAGAGACAAATGCAGTGATGATATTAGAATTGATCCTGGGGTCTGGCAACAACCCTAGGGACCCAGTTGCTGAGTCACAGCTTGGAAACAGTTGAGATCCCCAACCCATAACCATACATAAAATTGCTGGGCATGAAACATCTAATACAGATATTCTACAAGGATTGACCTTGGGGTCTGGCATATTCCCTTGGATCTCACTTGGAGAAGATGTTGCCATGATTGCTTAGATATCCAGATGAGCGATTGTTTAAATTTATTTGTCATGCCCTCAAAAAGAGAACCGGGGCAGCGACAACGTAAAACCTCGTTATACCGCCACTTTCTGTCCTCTGTGATTTAAGCGTCATAACGAGTTTGGCGGTATATCGGGTTAACCGTTTTGAACCCAAGTGTACACACACCAACTGAACTCATAATTAGAAAAATATTAATAATAAAGTTCAAAATACGTGTTTTTTTTTTAAAATTGCTATTTAATGCATCAAATTGTTGAGCGTCAAAAAGAAGCGTCACACACAAATAATGTTTAATTTATGCCGTGATATCCCGACAATGTAAATGCAGAATTTAGGGGGGTGGGGGGTTATGTTGTCGTCGTCTTCATTTTCCGAGTTAGTGTTTGTTTGTTTGTTTGTTTGATTTTGTTTAACGTCCTATTAACAGCTAAGGTCATTTAAGGACGGCCACCCCTGTGTGCAAGATGCATGCGTGTAGTGTATGTGTGTGTATTTTGGGAGGCTTCGATATGTTCGTGTTTGTCTCCTTGTGATAGCGCGGAACTGATGCCGACTTTATAGTGCTACTTCACTGAAACATACTGCCGAAGACACTCAGCAGGACGCCCCAACCGGTCACATTATACTGACAACGGGCGAACCAGTCGTCTCACTCCTAATTTGCTGAGCGTTAAGCAGGAGTATAAACTACCATTTTTAAAGACTTTGGTATGTCTCGGCCAGGGGACAGAACCCAAAGCCTTCCTCACAGGGGCGAACGCTCAACAAATGGCCAAAAGTGAGGCATTGTCAAG